GGAAAGCTGCTCAGTGGGTTTATTTATAAAACCCTCCCAACTTCCCAGGGTTTTCTCATTGTCTTTTTGCATCAAGACTTTGTATTGGGATATTAAAGAGATTTAACTTGGGTAACATTGTCTTGAACCTTTGGGAGTCCATGTACTTGGATCTTGGTGAGGACTCAGGCCTACACTATACTACTGCGGTATGTACACTCCTCTTGGCTACTTTGAACACTGCTAACCTGGGCAGGTGAGCCTGGCAAGCAGGTCCCAACAGCAGAGGATGGGGTGGGGCCTTTAGCTGCCAAGGCTGTGGTTCACTCTCTCCTGAGCTCCTGTGGCTGTCAGGTACCAGGTGGGAACCCAGCCCAGCCCATCGTGGAGCTTGCACCAAGGCTATTGAGGTCAGGGAGTAAGACCCACAGCTCTGATCTGTGTCCTAAGAGCTGGTGGAGGGTGGCTTCAGAGCCTCATTCTACACTGGGATGTAGGTCCAGAGCACAGAGGATGCTCCTCTGCTGCACCCAGGACAAAGGTCACAGCACTGAGAGTGGCAAGGACTCTGCCAAACAACACAGCAACTCAAGGTTCTTTAGGGCCCCCGGCTTCTCACTGCTCTAGAGTGGTTGTTTTCCTGTAGCCCTTTTCCCTTTATCCTTTTAAGTCTCCCACATTCAGGATTGTCCTGAAACCTGGTCCCTAGAGCTGGTGCCTGAGAGAAAACAGGTATGTACTCATTCCCCCAGTGCCTCCCTGAAGAGCGCCTCTCACCTCCAGCCTATGTAGAAGCTGGCACTAGGGAGGTGAGGGGGTAGATAGAACATTTAGATCTTGGGGTCCAGAGAAGATGCAGCCTAGGCCCACTGACTTGTTCTCTCCCAAAGTCAGGTGCCAGGACCCTGAGAACACTGGGCAGACAGGCTGCAGGCATCCACTTTCCTGAAATCCAGAAGTTTTTTTTTTTTTTTTTTTTTTTTCTTAAGTAAAGCAGATTTGACCTAGATCTCATGGGAATTTGAGAGAACCCCACCCACACTGCCCTGGGTTGGAGACAGCACTAGAGATGGTGTAGACTGTCCTGACCTAGTGTAGAGGGCAAGGGAAGGCCACTTTTATTGAGCAAATTTCCCAGGACCTGCGAATTAGGTCTTCCCCCTACCCCCAGAGGTAGAACCCCTAAAACCACCTCCCCCAGGTCCCAAGGCCACCAGCTGTACACCTGTAGTCTCCTATAGGAGCAGCCCCTTATTTGGCAAGAGATGAGAACATGAGCAACTGCCTGTCCATAAGGAAAGGACAAATGACGGAAGGGAATGGACCACTGCAGGTAGTGTGTGCTGTACCCTGGGACAGGACCTCAAGGGCCTGGCCTTCCTGTCCTCAGGTACCGGCTGGCCTGGGCCTGCCCTGGCTGCACAGCTTCTGTTGGGAGGTTTGGGGTAGGGTTGGCCAGGCTGCCACTCTGAAGCAAGATCACTCGATCTCTAGGATGAGGTCATCGCCTTCCAGTGTCATGTCCTTGGTCACGTGAACCTTGCGGATAGTGCCATCCATGGGGGAAGTCACCACAGTCTCCATCTTCATGGCACTGAGCACACAGAGGGGTTGGCCCTTAACCACCTTGGCTCCTGCTGCCACCTTGATGTCTATGACCTTCCCAGGCATAGGGGCCCCGATTTGGCCCTTCACATCCTTCAGAGCCTTGGGATGGAAGTGCATCTCCTGCAAACAAGACAGATGACATGAGACAGCAGGTCAGGTCAGGCCCAGCCACCTGGTTGGCCCTGAGGGTACTGTACCTTCATTGCCTGGGTGTCCTTAACCAGAATGGACCGAAGTTGCCCATTGAGTTCAAAGAAAACCTGCCTCTGGCCAGCCCAGTTCAGATCACTCACTGCCAGGGCTTTGATGTGCAGTGTCTTGCCCCGTTCCAGTTCCACCTGCAGAAAAGGTAGGTCAAATTTGGGGAGAGAGTCAGGAGAGCAGGCCCTGGGTTCCCACAAGGGAAGTCATACAACCTGGATCTTAGTTCCATGTGTAAAGGCCTAGCCTCTGGTCACACAGGACTGTTTCTGCTCTAAAGTCCACAAGGCTGTCAGAACCGAGTCTGGGCTGTCTGGCAGGGCTTCTGTCATGCTTGGGGCTGAGTGTGGACAAACACAAGAACCACTGACCTCAAACTCCTCTGCAATTTTGGGTCCTTGAAGAAAGAGGCGGGTATTGAGGCTATCCAGAGGACCAAAGGTGGCCGTGAAGTCTTTGAACTGGGCAAAGACATCAGGGTACATGGCTGCAGAGAGAACATCCTCTGGGGTCACCTCCTCCCCATGCCGTTCAATCAGGTCCTTCTCTAGCTCCTGCAGGTTCAAGGGGGAGAGGGAGGCTCCAGGCCGCCCCTCCACTCTTGGCAGGTTCTTTAGCACCTGAGGAGCAAAGCAGAGGGTGAGGTTCAGGCCAGGTTCTTGTACTCGGTACCTGTCTCACATCCTAAGGCACCGTCCCTACCTTAGAGCGGAAGGGCTCAGGGAAACCCCCATGGGGGATCCCAATGTAGCCCTGCAGGAATTCCACCACAGAGCGGGGGAAGGACAGCTCTTCTGCCTGAGCTTCAGCCTCTGCCCGGCTTAACCCATTCTGCACCATGAATTGGGCCAGGTCACCCACAATCTTGGAGGATGGTGTCACCTGAAGAGAAAAGATCTCTGGTAATAAGAATGCTAGGCACAGAGGCAGGACTGCAGTGTGCAGGGCCATTAGATAAGAGCCTCGCTCACCTTGATGAGGTCCCCCAGCATCTGGTTAGCCTCCACATAGGCCTTCTTGACCTCCTTGAACTTGGAGCCAAGCCCCATGCTGTGGGCCTGGAAGTGTAGGTTGGTGTATTGGCCCCCCGGGATCTCATTCTCATACACATCTGAGTTGCCAGACTTCATGGTAGCAGTACAATCAAAAGCTGCATAGAGCCCCCGAGCCCCTTCCCAGTACTCGCTGTAGTCAAACACACGCTCCAGGGGTACCTCTGCAGGGAAGCTAGAGTTAGGAGAGCGTGGCAGGGGCTCCTTCCAGGACTCGGGGCTAGCCCAGATCCCATCTCAAGTTTGGGTGGGAGCAGAGTGAGGCACCTGATTCTATGTGTCCCAGACTCTGCTGGGGTTATTTGCGACTACAGCTTTGAGAGGGGCGTGGCCACGGGCTCTTCCATCCTACCTGTGTCCAGAGGAGTCCCCTTGGTACATGCCACCAGGGCCCCCATGCTGGGCTGTGATGTCATTCCAGACATGGAGTCTACTGCCACATCCACAACATCAGCCCCAGCTTGTGCACAGGCCAGCATGGCCGCCACGCCTGCTCCTGAGGTGTCATGGGTGTGGATGTGCAGCGGGAGGTCAGGGAATCGGTCCCGGAGGGAGCTGACCAGCATGGTGCAGGCCGCAGGCTTCAGTAGCCCTGCCATGTCCTAAAAAGGAGAAAGAAATATGGTGAGGAGGGATGGGGTGTGTCTCTGTGCTGCAGGCCATGGTGGAGAGGGTGGGGAGGGGAGAGAAAGAGATAGGCAAGCAGCCTTGGCACCTTAATGCACAGGATGTGGGTGCCAGCTCGCACCAGTTCTTCAGCTAAGCCCATGTAGTACTCCAGCGTGTATTTAGTGCGGCTGGGGTCAGCCACATCACCGGTGTACGAGATGGCAGCCTCCACCACACCCCCAGCACTGCCTGCTGCTTCCATGCCCAGCAGCATGTTTGGCAGGTAGTTGAGGGAGTCAAAGATTCGGAAGATGTCCATACCATTCTCTTTGGCCACCTCACAGAACCTGGCAGGTGAGAAAACAGGTGAATCCTTCCTGCACTTCCTTTTCTAGCTCCCAGCCCCCAGGGGATGAAGTCTGGCCTGGCAGGAGTAGGGGCTTCAAAGGGTAAACAAGGCCTTTTCCAGGCCAGCCTGGGCCAGGAGGGGTGACAGTCACTGGCAGAGGTGTCCAGGGTTCCACCCCAGTTCCACACTGTGATTCCTGGGACAGGTCATCTCCCTCAGTGTTTGCTGCCATGGAGACCCAGGAGCCCTGCCTGCTGTGCCTCTGCAATTTTGTGTTTGGTCCCCATAGGGCGTAGTCAAAGACACTTTGGAGCCCACTGCTGTGTGGTCCCAGCCGACCCAGGCTCACTTGAAGACCACGTTGTCAGGGTAATTGGTGTAGCCCACGGCATTGGCCCCCCGCAGGAGCATCTGGAATGGGATGTTGGGGATGCGCTCCCGAAGCTCCTGCAGCCGCCTCCAGGGGCACTCATATAAGAAGCGCATAGCAACATCGAATGTGGCTCCTGGGCAAGAACAGAGACTGGTCACTCCACATGTCACAAGGATCCTCCATGGCCCCCTCACTCCAGCCCCCCGCCTCTCCCTCCACTGATGTTCTGGGATACTCAGGCTCATCTGAGACCCTGCAAGCATTGATGAGCTCCCCGCTGCCCTCAAGCTACCCAGGAAGGGCCTACACCCCAGTCCTGCAGCCTCAAGCACTGGGCTTTTTCCAGCAGGAGCCGGCTGCTGTCTGTCAGCATCGCTCTGTCCCTAGTGTCCTGGCCTTCTGAGTTGGGCACTCCATTCCTGCCAGCACTGTCCAACATCCCAGCCCCCCTCCAGCTACCTCCCCAGTTCTCCATGCTGAAGAGCCTGTTGAAGCTGTGGGCAACATAGGGCGCAATCTTTTTGAGATCATGTGTGCGCACTCGAGTGGCCAGCAGTGACTGGTGGGCATCCCGGAAGGTTGTGTCCATCAGCAGCAGCCCCTGGTGATTCCGCACAGCTCGGGCAAAGCCCTCTGGCCCCTCTCGCAGAAGGATGTCTCTGAAGCCAGCTGGGGGTGGACCTAGAGCAGACAAGAACATCAATGCCTATCCTGTAGGTAGCAACCAGACATTACATCCTTGGGTTGGTGAAAAGGGATCTCACCTACCTATAGGCACTGTAGGAACAACGGGGTCCACAGGGCTGGGATTGACCTTGACAGGGAGTGGAGTGCTGGGGCCATTCACCATGACATGTCCTGGGGAGGAAGTGGGCAGTATGTCAAGGGCAGCTGTGAGTACATAGGCTCAGGATAGAGACTCTCCCCAGAACACCCAGGCCTCTTAGGTCCAGGCAGCAGAAACCTATTGAAGGCCATGTGGAGGTATAGGACCTTAACAAGGGCGGGGCTATGGAGTGGGAGACAAGGAACAGTCAGGAGGGAGAAGGGTGGGCAGACCGAGGTAATGTAGCAGCTTCTGGGCTCGGTTCTGTGCGGGCCGCAGCTGGAAGAGGTCAGGGTTCTCATCAATGAACTGGGTGTCCACAGTGCCTGCTAAGAACTGCTGGTTGTTGAGCACATTCTGCAGGAAGGGGATGTTGGTCTGCAAGACAAAGGCAGAGGGGTCACTGTGCAGCTCGAGGGAGGGAAGAGACAACCTTGGAGCACCGCAGCTCCCAATCTCACCATCAGTCGGGCAATCCCTGGAGCTGCCAGGGGCTATATGCACACCCTCCACCTTTGCTCACCCCAGAACATATGCCAGTGCCACCCCTCTTGGGTCTACAAACTAAGATCTAACACCTCCCCCATGGCCTAGAACCTAGGTGTGCTTCTGTAATATTAGCACACATATCACCCTTTAACCCCTGCCAGTCACGTGACCCTACTACCATGGCATCAACTCTTCCTAATTCCCACAGCGTCTCGCAGCATCTTGCTAACAGTTCCCACCTTGACTCTTCTCCCTGACCTCCTCTTCCTCTGCCCTTCCACTTCTCACATGCCACTGTCCTTAGGATGCCCTGATCTGGACCTGCTCCCTTGACAGCCTCTCTTTGGAGCCAGGTAGAATGGCAGCCAGAATCTCCACATCCCTCATGGAGCCCCGCATCCTGTGCTCCCCAGTTATCTGGTAGATGGATGCCCTGCCTTATACCCTGGCTTCCCCATTCCTGTGTGACTGGACACAATGGACCCCTGTCCCATGCATAACAAACCCTGAACTTTTTTTAAATTTATTTTTATGTGCATTGGTGTTTTGCCTGCACTTATGTCTATGTGAGGGTATCAGATCTTGGAGTTGTGACAGTTGTGAGCTCCCATGTGGGTGCTGGGAATTGATCCTGGGTCCTCTGGAAGAGCAGTCAATGCTCTTTACCACTGAGCCATCTCTCCAGCCCCCAAACCCTGAACTCTTAATCCCTTCTGCTCAGTCAGTCCACACCTTTCCCCTGAGCTGCTTCAACACTGCCACCTTTGCCCAACAGATTGGACAAGTTGGGGTGCCTTGCCCACCAGCAATAGGGACCAGAGCAGCTGACGCCCCCAAGGCTGCACAGGAGATGGATCAAGAGCCTCCCACCATTGCCTCTACTGAAAGCTCCATAGTGGTAGGAACAGAGCCAGAAACCACCTGGCTCCCAGAACAGGCAACACATGGCAGATGCTAGAACTCGTGTATGTTTGGAGTGAAAGAAACTCTTTAGGGGAAGAAAAAGTATCTGACGCCGCCTCACGTCACAGCTGATCAGACTAAAGATCCAAATTGTTTTGCAAAAGTTGAAAGTGTCCCAGCAGCAACAATCAGGCATTGGCTTCCAGCTGCAAGAACTTAAGCCCCTCAAGCTGCGCGGTTTCCTACTCCCTTAGGTGTGAATAATACAGGCAATTAACAGCCCTGGGTCTCCACCAGAAGCTCGCTCAAGGCTGCACAGGACTAGATTCCAGCCTCTGTCTCCCTGCATTCCTGCCACCCACGCGCTCCTGAGACTCAGATATGAAGGGAGAGGAATAGGAAGAAGGGACCCAGGTAGCCTAAGGGCAAGGAGACGCCCCGCAGGAGGTGACAACTTCAATGCCAACTCGGTGAACCACTCCTGACGGTGGAGACAAGAACCGCGATACCCAACCTCAGCACTCTCACCCAAGCCCGGGCTCTGAGGCCACTTCACATCCTTGGCTGTTCGGGCCATACTTCTTAAGAAGACCCGCGGGAGTGGGGCGGGCGGGCGGGCGGAGCAACGACACGAAGAGGACCACTGACGCACAGCTTCAAACAGCGTGCCACCGCCAGCCTGCTGGGAAACCGCGCAGCGCAGACCAATCGGGCTGGAGGCGGAGGCCGGTTGGCTGGGGAGCTCCGGGCAGGGCGGGAGGGGAACGGAGCAGGGAAGGGAGGGGCGCGGTGGGGCGGGGCGCGACGGCGGTCCCGTGGCCTAGCCCTTAGGCCCCACCCGCAGAAGCCCTGCTGGGGGCGCCACCCGAGCCCCCAGGGCCCGGGCCTGTGGGGGGGGGGGGGATCCTTCACGTGACTCGGTGATGCAGAACGGTTGTGACCTTCAGTGTGTGTCTGTGAACGCGATGGTCCCAGCAACTGTGCGGGTTTGCGCCCGGCCCTGCCTGTGGGTGCGGGGACGTGTGGGTGTGTGGGCATATGTGGGCGTGTTGGGGAGGGTGCCCAGAGACATGTGACAAAGACCCGTCTCCGGGAGATGGTGAAGGGGCCTGCGAGCTGGCGCTTTGTCTTGTTGTCTGCAGAACCGCGGCGCCTGCCTGAGCGGTGCAGGATGCTTGGGCGCCAGGGTGGCCGGGGGCGCGCGCCCGTGCCAGGGTGAGTGCGCTGCGGCAGCGCTGAGGGGCAGCGCGGCGGGCCTGGCCGAGCCTCGGGCGTGACTAGGTGCCACCCGTGGGGGCTGCAGTGGCCGCGTGTCCCCGTGACCTCGGGAGCCGGGCTAGGGCCAGGGTGGATTCCCGTGCCCCTCCCGGCCCGCCCTCCACGTGCGTGTCCGCGGCGCGCGTGTCCGCCCGCGCGCACCCGCCTGCCTGTCGCCGCCGCCGCCAACGGCACGGAGAAAAGGTGTCGGGAGCCGAGAGAGCCGGGGCCGAGGGCCCGAGCGCCATGGGCCGGAGGGCGCGCGGCTGGCGGGCTGGGCCTCCCCCCGGCGAGAGAGCGGCCTGGAGTCGGCAGAGGCCGGCTGGGCCCGCGGGGAGGCCGGCCCGCGCCCCCTGAGCGACGGACACCAGGTGAGCCCCCCTCCCCCGTCCGGGCAGGGTACAGCGGGTGTCCGGCCCGGGGAGGAGCCACTGTCCACGCCAGGGATTTGGATGGGGGGGGGGGGGGCACGGACGGACACGCAGTCCTCAGCCACGAAGGGGAAGGCGCGGAGGGGGGAGGGGGCTGGCCATTCCGAGGATGCCTGAAGGAAGTTCCGGGACCCTCCCTGCTCTTGGCCCTCCTCCACTTCCTGCCTCATGCCTCACCTCGTCCCTGGTACCTGGACTCTCTTCAACTGCTTGGGAAATGTGACCTTTACTCTTGGGGGCCTGAGCCAGCAGCCCCAGCCATCTTTTCTCCCTGGGGTCCTCCTTGAGCCTCTTACCCTACCCAACCCTTCCCAGCCCAGACTCAAGAAACTGGTTCCTGGGACCGTGCCCTAGGCACAAGTGGGCACTTGCCTTAACCCCACCTGTGCCTGGGGCTGTGGCCCTTTCCCACAGGGCGCTCACCATGGCCCCGCCGCTCCTATTGCTGCTGCTGGCCAGTGGAGCTGCCGCTTGCCCGCTGCCCTGCGTGTGCCAGAACCTGTCGGAGTCGCTCAGCACCCTTTGTGCCCACCGAGGCCTGCTGTTTGTGCCACCCAACGTGGACCGGCGCACAGTTGAACTGCGCCTGGCTGACAACTTCATCCAGGCCTTGGGACCACCTGACTTCCGCAACATGACAGGGCTGGTGGACTTAACATTGTCTCGAAATGCCATCACCCGCATCGGGGCCCGCTCCTTTGGGGACCTGGAGAGCCTGCGCTCATTGCACCTGGATGGCAACAGGCTGGTGGAGCTGGGCAGCAGCAGCCTTCGGGGACCTGTCAACCTGCAGCACCTCATTCTCAGTGGCAATCAGCTAGGTCGCATTGCGCCAGGGGCCTTTGATGACTTCCTCGACAGCCTGGAGGACCTGGACGTGTCCTACAACAATCTCCGGCAGGTTCCCTGGGCTGGCATAGGTGCCATGCCTGCCCTGCATACCCTTAACCTGGACCATAACCTCATCGATGCACTACCCCCAGGTGTCTTTGCCCAGCTTAGCCAGCTCTCCCGCCTTGACCTCACCTCCAACCGCCTGGCCACCCTGGCGCCTGATCCACTCTTCTCCCGCGGTCGGGACGCCGAGGCCTCCCCTTCCCCCCTCGTGCTGAGCTTCAGCGGGAACCCACTGCACTGCAACTGTGAGCTGCTGTGGCTGCGGCGACTGGCTCGGCCTGATGACCTGGAAACCTGCGCTTCTCCACCAACCCTGGCAGGCCGCTACTTCTGGGCAGTGCCAGAGGGAGAGTTCTCCTGTGAGCCTCCACTGATTGCCCGCCACACACAGCGCCTGTGGGTGCTAGAGGGCCAGCGGGCCACTCTACGATGCAGGGCCCTTGGTGATCCTGTGCCCACCATGCATTGGGTTGGCCCTGATGACCGGCTGGTTGGCAATTCCTCTCGAGCCTGGGCTTTCCCCAACGGGACCCTAGAGATTGGGGTGACAGGCGCAGGAGATGCAGGAGCCTATACCTGCATCGCCACTAACCCTGCTGGTGAGGCCACAGCCCGAGTAGAGCTCCGGGTGTTGGCCTTGCCCCATGGTGGAAACACCAGTGCTGAGGGAGGCCGTCCCGGGCCCTCGGACATTGCTGCTTCTGCTAGAACTGCTGCGGAAGGCGAGGGGACTTTAGAGTCTGAGCCCGTCGTGCAAGTGACGGAGGTGACTGCCACCTCAGGCCTGGTGAGCTGGGGCCCAGGGCGGCCAGCTGACCCAGTGTGGATGTTCCAAATCCAGTACAACAGCAGCGAGGATGAGACCCTCATCTACCGGTGAGGACGCCTGCACATGCCCTCAGCCTGCTTTGTTCCCAGGGCCCCCTGCTGACCCTCTGTCCCCAAGTCCTGCCTGTTCCCCTCCAGGCCCTGTGCCTGCTCCTCCTCTACTAAACTCTTGGAGCATGGCTGGGCCTGCTGCCTGGGGCAGAGAAAGGGGGCAGCTGCTTATAAGGGGTCTCAGGTGTACTGTGTATGTATGCACCAAAACCTGACCATCAGTAATAGCAGCTTGGGTATCTGCTGAAGCACCTGCCCCCCACCCTAGGGTATTTCAGTCTCTGCTTGGTGCTACCCCGTCCCAACTCCTATTGCCTGAGGCCTATTCATTGCACACACCCATCTGTGCCCTGACACACACAGATGCTTGTCATCGCCTCTGCCTTCCTGAGGGAGCACAGGCCTGTGTTGACAGAGTCTTACAGGCCTGAGGGGCTGTAGGGAAAATGAAAGATGGGAAAGGGGGCTGTACCCCACCCTGGGGCTCTGACCACCTGCCCTTGCCCGCAGGATCGTACCAGCCTCCAGCCACCACTTCCTTCTGAAGCACCTGGTTCCTGGTGCTGACTACGACCTCTGCCTGCTGGCCCTGTCACCTGCTGCTGGGCCTTCCGACCTCACAGCCACCAGACTGCTGGGCTGTGCCCACTTCTCTACGCTACCAGCCACACCCCTGTGCCATGCCCTACAGGCCCATGTATTGGGCGGGACCCTGACTGTGGCAGTGGGGGGAGTCCTAGTGGCTGCCTTACTGGTCTTCACTGTGGCCTTGCTGGTTCGGGGCCGGGGAGCTGGGAATGGCCGCCTCCCACTCAAACTCAGCCATGTCCAATCCCAGACCAATGGTGGCACCAGCCCCATGCCCAAGAGCCACCCACCACGGAGCCCTCCACCCCGTCCCCAGCGCAGCTGTTCACTGGACCTGGGAGACACTGGTGGGTGCTATGGGTATGCTAGGCGCCTGGGAGGAGCCTGGGCCCGACGGAGCCACTCTGTACATGGGGGGCTGCTAGGAGCTGGGTGCCGGGGCGTGGGGGGCAGTACAGAGCGGCTGGAGGAGAGTGTGGTGTGACAGGAAGGGCAGCCTCTCATGCCCTGAGGAAGGAGCAGTGCCACTGTTGGGCCCAGGTGGCAGCACCCAGCCTGGGTGGGCAGCACGGCCCTGGGCCCCACTCTGCTTTTTATCCTCAGTACCTCAGGCTCCCCAAGTACTTGGTGGGACAGCAAGCCCTTTCCTTGGTTTTGGCCTCCAGACTAAAGGGACAGGTCCCACCAACAGGTGCTCAGAGCCACCAAGGCAGGGGCTGCAGCCACCAAGAGGGAGTCTTGTTTCTATTTATAATAAAATTGTTGGGGACACTTCGGTGTAGGTCTTTGCTTTCATTCTGCTTGGTCCCTGGGAGGGCAGGAAGGAGGGAGGCTATTAGAGGCACACAGCCTAGTACAGGTGTCACGGTTAAAGCTGCCAGGCCCAGCAGAGGTGGGAAGCCCAGGGCAGTAGTTAAAAAAATGCTGTCTGCTAACCCTGCCTGAAGGCAGGCACGAGCCCAGGACTGATGGGAAGGTCCTATGTGAGATGGCCCACCCGGCTGCTATAGGATTCACAGCTGTATGCTGGGTGGGGTGGTGCCTGGCTGGGACGCACAGCCTGTTGGCAGTGAGCTGCTTTGGCCCCACTACACCCGTACATGCATCCTGCGTGGGTGGGCACCTGTGCTTAATGAAAGTGCAGTAGACACTGGCATCCCAGAGGATGCAGCCTGAGGAGCATTTTACCGTGTGTCCACGGTGTGCTGCAGCCAAGCTTACACACCCAGTCTCCTGGCACCAAAACAACCTGGGCAGGACCTAGAGAAATGCTAGTTTAAGGCCCTTGAGGGAAATAAGCGAGAGATGGGAGACATGTAGGAGAGGGCAGACATAAGGTAGGGTGTCGGCAGGAAGGGACAAACACAGGCCCCAGATCCTGCTGCTCTTCCTGTGGTCATGGACCCTGCCGTCCCTGTTCTCACCCTTGGAAGAGAATGCTGGGATCTTGATCCCACTGGGATATAGGACAGTTGTGTAAGGTTGTGTGGCTCAGGGTACCTGGCATAAAGGGTGGAAAAAATAAGCAGAGGTATCAGGGCACAACCTCAAACCTGGGGACAGCCCAATGTGTACTCCAAGACCCTTGTCATCCCTGCTTAGCCACAGGAGAGACAGGCCCCAGAGCATGAGGCACTGAATCCAGGATGCAGGGAGCTGACTTTACAGCATACTTCTGCCCTCAGGGTGACAGGGACTTCAACAGAGCCTGTGAGCTCTGAACAGCATCTAGAAAGCACTGACCCCTCTCAAGATGGGCTATGGGAGACAGGCTGCTCTGCCCCACCCCACAGGACAGGCTCAAAACATGCCTTCTCTCCACAAGATTTTCCAAAAGGTCTTTGAGCCCACTGTCACTGACAGGACCTATAGACAGTGAGAAAAACGATTGGCCACTACAGGGACAGCACTGTCAGAGTGGGCCCATGAGCCACCAAGCTTGAACAGCAATCACGGGCTGAAAGAGGTCATAAATAGGAGGAGGCCAGCACCCAGGACTGCCCACATGGCCAAAACACCCAATGGAGGAACTCAATAGGAGCTGAGGGTCTAAGCCCATGCCCAAGGGTACCCCACAGGATGCGTTAGCAGGTGCTGGCTTCAAAGGGCAGAATAACATTTCTCAGCTATGAATTTGTCTCTAGCTGCAGAAACTAGTTACAAAAAGAGCCCACAAGGATGTAATGGGCACCTCAAGGCCCTTCCTGTCAGGCAGCCATCGTGGCCAGAGCCCTGTCCCTCATCATATGTTTCTTGGCTACTCTGAAGTATCTGCCGCTCCAGATGCCAGGCCAGGAGAGCTGGGAACTGGCAGAGGGTCTGACTTCATCTGTCAGGGCTCTTGCTCAGGGAATCAGACTTAGACGGAGACCCAGCAGGGTCCTGGCACCAGCAGTCTGAGGACAGCTAGAAGAGATTACTGTGCCATTGAGGCTAAGAGCCACCTCAGTAAAGCAAGGCAGGGACAAGACAGGCAGCCCACCTGCCCCCTGTTAGCACATGACCATATGGACCCACTGTGGGCAAAGGCAGCGGAAGGCACCTCTCACCTTTACACCTCGGACACGGAACTCAGCCAGGGCTCTGCTCATCTTGGTGGCAGCTGTGGGGTGGTCTTTGCCGTGGGCGATGACTTTGACAAGCAGAGAGTCATAGTGGGGTGATATGACAGCCCCCTGGAAGGCAGAGGCATTGTCCAGGCGGATGCCCATGCCCTCGCCACTCCGAAAAACCTGTCGCCAGAAGGAAAACCAAGTCAGTGGCTGGGATGGAAACTGGGAGTAAACTGGGCTCCCAGCATGACCTCTGGAGGGCTGAGTTCAAGGGTACCCAGACAGCCCATCCCTGATCAGTCAAGTTCCTACTTCTGCCAGTAGACCCAGACCACAGTCCTTCTGAGTCCTATGAACTGCAACAAGGAGGGGGATAGTGGAGGAAATGCCTGCCAAGGCTCCTAGTTCATGCACAGCCCAGTCAGCAGCCTAGGTGGGAAGGGGCCAGATCCCACAGACCTTCTACCTCCTGCCCGGCCTCACCCTCCCTCCTTGCAGACTCATTCTGTGACCACCATCATTCCAGGAGCAGCAAGCAATATGCACATCTCACTGGGGATGAAGCAGCTAAAGCAGACCCTGACAAACAGCCCTGGGACAGACAGAAGCACACAAACCATAGGGTCACAAGCAAGACAAGGAGACAGGCAGACTGACCAAGGAAGGCTTTGGTTAGTTTGTTTTCCTTCTGGGTTTTGAAATACCACTCTGTAGCTCAAGCCAGCCTGAACTCACAACGTAGCCTAGGCTGGCCTTGAACTCATGACTCTCCTGCCTCAGCCTGCTGAGTAATCAAGTCACAGGTGTGTACCACCACACTCAGGCTTTTTGTTTTGTTTTGTTTTGTTGAGATCAGTGTTTCTCTGTGTAGCTTTGGAGCCTGTTCTGAAACTCACTCTAGACCAGGCTGGCCTCAAACTCACAAGAGTGCTGGGATTAAAGGTGTGTGCCATTACCACCTGACTGTTTTATTTTTGTTGGCATTTTTTTTTTGTTTTGCTTTGTTTTTAACGAGAGAGGAAGGGGAAGAACTCCGTATCTACGCACACTCCCTCTTCCTGAAGGGGAGGGTGGGAGAAAGAGCCAAGAAAATGGAAGGAGACAGGGAGATGGCACACCCAGCTCATCCAGGAAACACAAGAGGCAAGTAGAGGGGAAATGGCAGACAAAGATGGGGTTGGACGATCTGGGGTGCCTATACTTGCACACACAGGTGAGTGCTCAGGACAGGCATTGGGCAGGTGAGGGAGCTGAGGTTCACAGAGAAATCAAGGGAGAGGAGGCCAGGGGGACGGGCTTGGGAACACCCTCAGCATCACCCTTCGGCTGCTAAGGGTACAAGCTGTGTTCAATAAAAAAGAACTTCATGCAATATTTAAGGGTGGACACTCAGCTGTGTGCAGGAACCACCAACTAAAAATACCTTGTGGTGACTGACTCTAAAGTCAAGCCCTGGCCACGGAGGAGAGAGACAGTATAGCCCAGGAGCCAGCTTCTGGGCCCCAGGCCATCAGCTGCCCCTTCCCACCAGGGCTATAAGGCAGCACCAGCCCAAGGCTGCCCTACCTAGGGACTCAGAAAGGAACGCTGGTGGTCATCTATGGGGACCCTGGGGCTCTCAAGGTCATCATAACTGACCTAGCACCCCATCCTGGCCGTATTACTCAATCATGCTACTTTTGGACATTTCTGCAGTCTGGTTCATGCTCATCACTGCTGCACCTGTACCCTGGACACCAGAGCCAACCCTGAGTGCCTCTGATGTCCTGCATCCCCTGACCAGTAGGCAGTGCTGCCAACATGCATGGGGAGGGAGCAGGCTGGAGCACAGACAAGGAACACAAGGGACAGGCAGCTTAACCCAAAGGCGCCAACCCTGATGAGGACAACGGGCAGAGCTGGGGTGAACTTCTCAGTCCCTCCGTGCTGCCTCTGAACAACTCTTGCTTACGTCCAAGGGGCCGCCTTCTGTTTGACTCGTGCTACCACAGAGACCACAATCCTCTGCTCCCCACAAGGTCTTGCCTTGCCAGTCACCGCTCACCCCTAACAGAAGGCAGGGTAGAGACCAGCAGGGCACCAGGAACAAAGCTTCACATATGGGGGCCCACAACGGTCCCTAGCTGATCTGCCCCTGTTCCCAGGTGATGTTGGTTTTCTGCTAGCTTTCTGTGGAATATTCTTTCCTTACTCTAGGACAGCACTGGGCTCCCATGTTCTCTTAAGCAGCTGCATCTGGATTCCTGGGTGACAACCTGGGCACCATGGAGAGGCTGTGAGGAATCTCGGCCCAGGCTGGAGCTGGTGTCACACTTTTGATACGTTACCTACCTCAATGCGCCCAGTGTCGGGCTGGAAGCTGCGTGCAGGGTCCTCCGTGGTTACTCGACACTGAATGGCACAGCCATTGATGCGGATGTTCTCCTGCCGCAGGCCCAGGTCAGGCAGGCTCCGGCCCTCAGACACGTGAATCTGAGCATGGACCAGGTCCACGCTGCAAATGAGAAGGTGATGAGGTGAAGCAGGGAGGAGGGGTTCTATGATCACACAGGCCAATGCTGCTGCAGCCTCCTCTTAGCCCAAGCAGCCTAGGGTCCTCTGCCTGATGGTCCTACAGCCTATGCTGGGAGTAAATAGTTCCCTAAGAAGCTTCCAGAGACAGATATCTACCTGCCTTCAACCCTCCTGATGGCCTCTTCCAGTAGCCTGTCCTCCGTCTGCCCTTGCCCTAAGGTCTGTAAACTCCTGCTTGCACTGTGACACCAAGACTGGAAGTATAGGCTGAGGTCACAGTCACAGTGGACACCCACTCTGGGAGCATGGGATTTACACTGTGAATGCAGGGAGGGCAGGCTGCAAAATCAGAATCCCAAGGCCAGAGATGTTGGTAGGTCTGTGGTCTCAGCATTGATGGGTAGAAGCAGGAAGATTAGAAGTCCAAGGTCACTCTTGGCTACCTAACAAACTCGAGACCAGTGTGGGCCTCAGGAGATCCCATTTTAAAATAAATAAATAATAAATAAATCAAAGCACAACAGAACAAAAAGCGAAACAAACAGAACTACAGAACTACGTCAGTTGGAGGCCTGCAAAGGCAGACATGATCAGGACACTGTTCCCCAGGCACATGCAGAGCAGAAGGTTCTCCATATTTGCATGGTTGTGTGAACCTAGCCTGAGCAACAGCCACTCTTAAGAATGGTATCAAATCAAGGCAAAAGCTGTTAACACAGACCCTCCAGGTTTATGCATTTACTCTAGTGGTAGACTGTCCTCTGTCCTCCATGTCACTGATGATAGCAGAGTAGTAATGATGGTCGCCATGGCACCCTCTCTGCAGGCCACTGACCCTGCTTGCATGCTAGGTCTCCATGGTGGTACTTCCCCATCAGAGCATCTTGAGGGTTAGAGTAGCCACAGCTAGCACAGCCTACACACGACTCAGGACCTGGAGACCCTGACGCCTGGGCAGACAAATCTTTGGCAGAGCAGCACCAAGGCATAGCCCAGGGAACATGGCTGGAGCATCACTGTCACTCCAGCTCTGACCCTAAAGAGCAGGAGTCTGTGGGCTTCCGGATTTGTAGTAGGCAAAGGCAGCCAATGGGCAGCATCAGCATTAATCTTGGGTGGGGCCAAGGAGAAAATTGGATCAGAAATGTTCCATGGTACAGTGGACTAGTCTGATGCCAAGGATTAATTCTTTTTTTTAATATTTATTTATTTAGGGCTGGAGAGATGGCTCAGTGGTTAAGAGCATTGCCTGCTCTTCCAAAGGTCCTGAGTTCAATTCCCGGCAACCACATGGTGGCTCACAACCATCTATAATGAGGTCAGGTGCCCACTTCTGGCCTGAAGTCATACACACATACAATATTGTATACTAAATAAATAAATATTTAATAAAAAAAAGAGGGAAAAAGGTAGACTGTCACCTTTCACCCCGTGTCAATTTATCTCTACAAATAAATTTGCACAGCACTTTTCTTTTTGTTTTGTTTTTCAAGACAGCATTTCTCTATAGCTTTGGAGCCTCACTCTGTAGACCAGGCTGGCTTCAAACTCACAGAAATCTGCCTGCCTCTGCTGCCTCCTGAGTACTGGGATTAAAGGCGTGTGCCACCACTACCACCCAGCTGCACAGCACTCTCTTTCTTTCTTTCTTTCTTTCTTTCTTTCTTTCTTTCTTTCTTTCTTCTTCTTCTTCTTTTTTTTTTTTTTTTTTTTTTTTTTTTTTTTTTTTTT